ACCAGCACCACACGAAGTGACCCATTTCCCTGAAACGTTAGTCCATGTTAGAAATTTCTTTAATCAAACATTTTTGCCAATTTGACAGGTGACAAGTAGTATCTCGCTTTAACTTACACTTGTTTTGCTCATTTACACTTGTTGAAATTTATTTTTTTTAATCCTCACCCGAGGACATTTTTCCATTTTTTGTTCAGATAGAGTAGGAGGGAGAGAGGAGGAAGAGAGAGAGAGAGAAACATCGACGTAAAAGGGACACATTGAGTGGCTGCCACCCGCATGACCAACTAGGGCCAGGGACAAACTGCAACCGAGGTACGTGCCCTTAGCGGGAACCGAACCCGGGTCTCTCTGGACCTCAGGCCGATGCTCTAATCGCTGAGCCAAACCGGCCAGGGCTGAAATTTATTTTTACATATTTTTGGTCATAATATGTTTTTCTTCTTTTGCTCATTCTTCATATACTTGATATGCTTGACTTATTTTTTTGTTTTGACGTTAATCTTTTACATAGTAAGAGTTCTCTACATGCCTCACAATAAGTCGTGTAGGACAGGTGTTCATCTTTTTTTTTTTATCCTTAACCGAGGACATTTTTCGATATTTTGTTCAGATAGAGTGGGAGGGAGAGAGAGAGAAACATTGATGTGAAAGGGACACATCCAGTGGTTGCCACCCACAAGACCCAACCAGGGCCGGGGACAAACCGCAACCAAGGTACGTGCTCTTAGTGGGAACTGAACCCGGGTCTCTCCAGGTCGCAGGCCAACCCTCTAACCGCTGAGCAAAACTGGCCAGGGCATGGTGTTCATCTTTTACCTATTATATGCTGCAAACAGTTTTCTCCCCTCGTTTTTAGTTTTCTTTTTAAATTTAAATTTATAGGATTATTTTTATTATGTGCAGAAGTATCTAATTTGCATACAGTCAAGAAATTAATATTTTCTTCCCTTGCTTATGTTTAAAAACGCTCACCCCAAACTTTAAGTCAAAGAAATACTTATCTTTATTTTCTTCTAATTGTTTTATTTTCTTCTAATGGTTCTTTCTCTCTTTAAACAAACCAACTTTTATTCATATAAAAATTACTTTGGTAAGAATCTAACCTTATTTCTCCCCCAAAGCAAATACATTGGATTGAATAAGCCTTCCTTTTCCTACTCATTTAAGATACGAACTTCTTTAAATACAAACATTTCTATACTTACTAGGATCTCTATATGGGATAGCTCTTCTGGTCAAATGTCTTATCTCTAGTTTTTCACCACTGTCATATTGTTTTAATTATTAATTAAATTCGCTATATAATTTATCAACCAAACTAGGATACTTTTGCAAGTGAATTATGACTGGTTGATAGGCATACATCTGGGTCCTGGGGTACCCTAGTTATTATGGTTTTATAACTTTTCATATCTGCTAGAGTAAGAGTTCCATCATGACTTTTATTTTCAAAATTAGTCATTCTTTTCTCAAGCACAAAAATACGAAGAATTAAGTAGTGATGGGACGAATATCTAAGAAGTATTTTTGAATGATTCATACATGTCATATGAGATGGTTTGTTCAATTTAAATGACATAAAATTGACTTTGATTTTTGACTTTTTGGTATTTGTTGACTCTTTCTGTGACTTCCTATTGCTTTCTGCTTGCAGTTGCATGTAATTGAAAGATACTCTACAGGCCATCACCTGGCTTAATGCCATCTCTCTTTCTTTGATTTCTGTAGTTAACCGTTTGCTCATTCTTTGCTCAGAACCTTCTAGCTCAGCGATTTTCAACCTTTTTCATCTCATGGCACGCATAAACTAATTACTAAAATTCGATGGCACACCAAAAATATATTTTTTGCTGATTCTGACCAAAAAATAGGTATAATTTTGATTTATTCACACCAGACGGCTATTGTTGTGTTGCCTATTGTCATTTATTTATTTGACAATCTAAGGGAAAAGGGGTCAGTGCCCCTGGCTAAATAGTCAGGTATTGAATGTTTTAAAAATTCTGTGGCACACCTGTTGAAAATCGCTGTTCTAGTTGTTATTTCAGGTGCCACTTACCTCTCTCACTTACTAGCTGCCTTTCCACTCACATTATTCACCTGCCGTGGGCACCCTCATCACTGATTAGTACAGATGAACAAAATGCAAGTTTTGTTACCTTTCAGTTCAGATATTTCAGTTCAGTTATTTCTCAAAGTTAAGAATGCAAAAATCTATGAATTCCTGTCCATATGATCAGAGGTCCAAACCAAGTTGGGGGCAGAGAAACATGGGCCTCTTTCCATAAATCCAGAAAGGACAAAGTTTGCCTGAGTCCCACATTGTTTCTCACCGTGGCAGGAGGCAGGCCTGTTTCTAATTTAATTTGTTTATTTATTTTGCTGCATTTATTCCCTGCCAAGGAAAATGCTGGCTGACACAGGGTCTCCAAGGCCATCACAATTCTTTTCCATCTAGCACAGTGGAATGCCTCCTTTTTCTCCATATAGAAACAATGTTATAAATCTGTGTTTCCAGGAACACAAAACAAAACGCTATACAGGGAGCTGACCTGCAAATGTTAGTTGAAAAATTCTGAATAACTTTCCAGCCAGTGATCTTTAAGGCAAAGTATATGCCCTCTGGCGTTGCCATTTTTGATATTAGTTTTAACTTTGTTTTACTAAGGAAAACATATTGGTAGAGAAGTGAGACACCACAGACCCTACAAGGACTTAAAGAAGGTTCTGGTGGGTAATCCTTGAGCTTCTTCTTTTTTTATCCTCACCCAAGGACACCTTTCCATTTTTTGTTCAGATAAAGTGGGAGGGAGAGAGAGGAAGAGAGAAAGAGAGAGTAACATTGACATGAAAGGGACACATCGAGTGGCTGCCACCTGCATGATCAACCAGGGCCAGGGACAAACTGCAACCGAGGTACGCGCCCTTAGCGGGAACCGAACCCGGGTCTCTCCTGACCGCAGGCCGATGCTCTTAACTGCTGAGAGAAAACCGGCCAGGGCTGAGCTTCTTTTTAAAAAACTGGGAAGCCCTGCGGTCCAGAGAGACCCAGGTTCAGTTCCCACTAAGGGTGCGTACCTCGGTTGCAGTTGTCCCCGGCCCTGGTTGGAGTCGTGTGAGTGGCAACTACTCAATGTGTCTCTCTCGCATTGATGTTTCTCTCTCTCTCTTCCTTCCTCCCTCCCTTCCTCTATCTGAAGATAAATGCAAAAAATGTCCTCAAGTGAGGATTAAAAAATAAATAAATAAATAAATAAAAACTAGGATTTGGGGCCACACCTTTATTTGCACTTATCCTATTGCCCGTAGGTCTATGTGTAAGCTGGGTCTTCTCCCTTCCCTCTCCCTTCTGCATCTTTTTCCTAGATCACTTCCTTGCCTTCTGCTCAGATATGACCCACATTTGTTAAAAACCACCTAGCTAATGTCTTTTTCTCTTTGCAGCACAGCTCACCACATTCCCTTCTCCTTTCTCCATTTTTAGGATTCATACGTTAAAGGCAATCACACCTGGCTTACAGACTCCCCGTTCTACTTTGCAAAGCTCAGGTTCAGGAAGTTCCCAAGGTACAATAATGTGTTTCCAAACTGTCTTTGTTAATAAGTTGTTTGGAACTTGGCACACATTTTTCCAGCAAAAGTAGTCTCTTACCGGTGTTTACAGTTCCCAGTCCAGCCTGCAACAACTTACTCAATATGCAACACATCTGTTGAGTCAAGCATTTGCTAAGTGCTGGTGGTTGAGAATTTTTGTGTTCACGAGGTGGCCCTTCAGCATTGTGTTATTTGTTGAGCTGTTCACTCCCCCGACCTTGTTCTCATATGTCATCAGCAAGGTTTTTGCTTGTTCTGGTAAACAGGATCTTTCTTTAGCGTTAGCTTTGCAAGGTGTAGCCTTCTGTACACAGTTCATCTGCAAGACACCAATTTTCTGAACACTCAGGTGGAGCAACAATAATTTTCACATGTTGATCAAAATTTAGCCACATCGCTGTGAAGGTTTGAGGCACCCCAGGCTGTCAAGGCCTATGAGATGAAGTCCACTGCATAAGGAATAAAACATTATTAAAACATGATCTTCAGAGAGAAAGAGAGAAGACTTTCTTTGATGGTAGGGGCAATCTATCATTCAAGTTGTTGCCTGGAATAGGATTCCTGGTTGGCATACAAAAGTTGAATTAAGAATGAATGAGTGAATGAATGGCAAAGCTCACAGGCGGCCATCTGGGCACATGCACTCAATGTTGCCCAAGGTTTCCAAGCATGGGTAAGAAGGACCTCACATTACAATATTTCCCTTCCATGAGGTCACCAGGAAGGCCCAACTTTTAGCACGTCTGTGATCTCATTTTGCTTTGCAGACTTCAGAGAGAATGAAGTTTTCCTGACATTGTTTTACTTCGCATCTTTCTTCTTTACCAAAGGTGGGTCAGTGGAGGCTTTATATTTCAGCTTTAAAAACCAAAGTATCCAGTACTATTTACCCCAGGAGGCCAAGAAGCCTCTCATAACTTTAAATATTTTTTGTTTCCTGTTTTAATCAAAAGGTGTCTAGGAAAAAGCCTCAGGCCAGATATTCGTGACCATCCCTGCACTCTGGGGCTGCCTGCGCCCTCAGGGTCGAGTTTTAGAACAAGTGTTCTGTTTGGCAATGCGCCTGCTTCCCACGGGCGTTGGGGGTGGATGGGTGAGGGCTGCACTTCTCTGGAAATCTTCAAACAAATGTGAGGGACAGAGGGACAGCACTTAATAGGGAACTCTGCGGTGTGGCTCTGTGAGGCCTGTGGATGCTAGCGGTCCTTTGGTTGGCTTCTCCTCCAGGCGGACCACCCTCCTGGGGACGAGTCCCAGGCGGGAGAGCATCTGCAGAAGAACCCGATCCGCGCCTCGCCGGTGGGGGGCGCTCTCCCGTGGGAACGGTCGGACTCCTCGGGCAGGGCGGGGCAGGGCGGGGACGCGGCCCCTCCGCCCCCTCGGCGCCACCCCTCTCTCCGCCGAACTTTCCTCGGGCTCCGGACGCGTCGCTGCGGCTGCTGGAAAAGAGGCGCGCCCCCGCCACCCGCCGAGTCCTCCTGTGCTCCTCACGCCGGGCGGGAGCCCGGCACCCGTCGCCCCGTCGCGCACGGCCCGAGGGCATGCGGCAGCCGCAGGGGCCCCCGCTCCCGGGCTCGGCGGCGCGGGCGAGCGTGAGCGGTGAGTGGGCGCCAGGCACTGGGAGGGTTCCCGGAGCCGCGGCCGGCCGGGGCGCGCGTGGGGAGGCCGGCGTGCGGGGGCCCCCGCAGGGCCCAGCTTTTCGGGGTTGCCTGACATGCAGCCCGGACCCCAAACCCACTGCAAGGTCCTGGCACAGGACCCCGTGGGCGGTGTGTGGTGCCCCTTGCCCTTTCCCACATTTTCCCGAGGAGTAAAAACCGACCGGGATGCCAAAGCCGCGTTGCGTCCGCCCCTGCCGCGGCTGGTGGGCTGGTGGGCTGGTGGGCTCGTGGGCTCGTGGGCTCGTGGGCTCGTGGGCTCGTGGGCTCGTGGGCTGGGCGCCGGGTGCCCGGAGCGCGACACGGCTCCGCCGGGCTTTTGCACAGGTGCTTCTTTTCCAAACTGTCCCTGCCGTCGGTGGGGAACGGGGGTTCTCCCGCGGAGCCCCGGGATGTAACATTTTCCAGCCTCCAGTTCCTGTCGGTACAATGGTGCGTCAGGGAACAGCTCGAGCCATGCAAGGCATCTAAGACTTCGGGAAATAGTTATTATTAACTAGTAACACTGTTGGGGGTGTGCTTTGTGAGTAAGTGAAGGTCCCCGTGCAGACAAAAGTGCTTTGTTCTGGAGCAGTGTTACTTTATTGCTTTCCCTCAGCAAGCTGCGACTACCCAAAACTGCTTAGAAATTTCTCAGGCATGTAATTTGAGGAGTGACAGTGAATATTGGAAACAATTTAATCTTATTAAGGTAATCATTAAAACCGTCCTCCAAAGCATTTGTAGGTCTTTTTTTGTTGTTGTTAATCCTTACCTGAGGATATTTGTTCCACTGATTTTTAGAGAGAGTGGAAGGGAGGGAGAGAGAGACAGAGACATCAATGTGAGAGAAACACATTGATTGGTTGCCTCCGATATGCTACCTGACGCCTAGGATGGAACTCGCAACCCAGGTAGGCACTCTTGACTCGGAATTGAAACTGAGACCCTCTGTGGGGCTGGCCGTCGCTCCAAACTGAGCCACACAGGCCAGGGCTGTAGGTCAATTTCTAAGTGAGTCATTTCATGAACTATGCCCCCCACCCCTAATTTATTGCAACACATTGACCTCCTTGCTCCTGTGTCATCCCGAGTAGTACCTGGTCTTGGAATGTTACTTTGGAAGTTAAGGGCCACCTAACTTCTCATGGTTCCTACTTGTTTTTTATAAATTGGAGAATAAAATAAACGTTAGTCACAGAGGATTCCTTTATGAGTAGGTTATTCCATGCACTGCACCGCATTTCATTAACACATGAACTTTTGTATTGCGAAGGTTGCTGGTTTTCCAGTGAGCTATCAGTAGTTGCTAACCCTGCTCCCCATGAGACATTGGATCCACTTTTGTGTGGACTGTGGGGTGAGTACAATTTTCCTCACCAGCCCTCCACCCCCGCACCCACAGAAGTGATACAGTTAGAAATACAACCTTGGCTCTGTTAACACCATTCTTGTCTAAACAAACTGGGCTATTCTAAAAAAAACAGCAAGCAAACCCTGCCAGTAAGGCTTATGGATTTGAGATAAGCTTCCAGAGTTGTCTTTTGTGCCTTGAGTATGGGACTTAGTATCTTGACCCAGTATCTGGACATCTAACCATCTGGACATAACTTACATTGATTGTCATTACCATATAACTAGAAAAATAGATCATTTAGACACATTTTTCTTGTTGTTTTTTTTTTGGTTTGTTTGTTTTTTTGTCTTTAAAATTCAAACCTTTGTAGCTTTGATTTAAGTACAAATGGCACATCCTCTTTTTTAAGTCTGACAAATACATAAATCAACTACCAGACTCTATTCGATCAGATCTATTTTACATATCTGGCTGTTTTATAAGATGTCTGATAGAACAGATCTGTATGTTTTCTATGAATGAAGACTGAAATGAGAACACTAAAACACATGATTGTTTTTCGTGTATGTTCATCAGAACCTGTTTGAGAGTCTGCATCATGTTCATGCCCTCATTTTTCTAAAACACACGCGCACCCAGGAACAAATGCACACACAGCATTGTGGCCAGGCAGCCACCACGGAACATACTCTCCAAGTCATGTCCACATGCCTAAGGCTGACTGGTTCTCTCCCAGTTTTTCCGTCTTCCTGCTGAAGAGCAGAAATCTACCATAACTTAAGCCCAACTTCTTATTTCCTTGGGCTGGAGCAAGGAGAATCACTGTAACTCGAATGGGATTTACTACAGCTCAAATTACCCATTAGCCATTCTCCTGGGAGTATACATTAGTTAAAAATGCTTTCTGGCCTGTGATTATACCCAACAGGGTGGTTAAGTCTGATTGCAAGCTTCTAAATGGGAGAGCCCAGGCCCAGGGCATTACGAATGTGGTATAAAGAGCAGAGCAGGGCTCTGCAGTCAGACCAGCCTTTGTTCAGGCCAGGCTTTGCAACCTGGATGCATTGCTTTGCCTCTCTAAGCCTTCATTTCCCTGCAAAAATAAAGATTATATCCACCTCCCAAGATTAAAAGAGAAAAGCACTTAGCAGGGTCTCTGATATACAGGAAATATTCCTTAAATGCCAGTTACCTACTCTTTCTTCTAGATAGACATTGAAGTATTGACATTTCTGGAAACATGGGTGCAACTGTACATTGTTCTGGAAGAGCGCAAAGATAGATCCCTAAGCTGTAGGGGACTTCGAGAAGTTCCGCAAACTTTCCTTGCTTCCCCACTTCCTGGCTGTCGTCCTTTTGCTGTTTCCTCCATCATCCCTCCTGCGGGTACTGAGCCGCCTCCTCTCCGGTCTTGCTGGTGCTTTGTCCCTGGTACTGGATTCTGTATGTATGTGGAGGAGTCCCCTGGAGCTTAGTCCTGCTACGGATGGGAGAGGCGTCAACAGAAGCCCTGAGAGTCTGTGCCTTTACGATGCTGGGTTAGAGGGGCAGTTGGAGTCTGGGTTCTAATTCCCCCCACTTTTGTGAGCTCTTGTGACCTTGAATAAATTGCTTGTTACCTTTGAATTTATTTTCTCATTTACACAACGGAGATAATCCTTCCTTTTCTAGCTACCTGTGTGGGTTGTTGTCGGGTCCCCAGTAAGTCATGTATGAGAAAGAGCTTTGCACCCCATGAGATCTATATAAACATTAGAGTTAAAGAGGCAGGACCTCCAGATGTGGGACACCCCAGGCAGACTGTGCGGGGGTGCTACATCTCCATGTGGGTGTCAGGTGCACTGAGTGGCCATGGCTTCAGCTCCTCCACACCCCTCTCTCCCATCCTCTGATGTCAGATGAGACATCAAGGATGAAACCCTGCCACAGATTGAGAAACTGCTCTGTGAGGATACAAGAGGAAGATACATTTGAGGACTGAGATGATCTAATACTGTGCAAGCGAAGACACAGGGCAAAGTTCTAAAAAAGTTTTATTTCCCTTTTAGAATTATCTGTGCTATCTGCTCATCTCAGTTCTTAGTGGACAAAGACTGGGAGCTAACCAGCCAGTATGTCAGAGGAGAGCGGTGATGGCATCATCAGACGCTGAAGTGGGCGCCCTGCCCCGTCCTCCCTGCCCCGTGCCTTCTTGCTTACTTAGGTCTCTAGAGTTCACTCGGCAAAGCACTGAACTGACTCAAGGCGTTTCCCTCTCTCAAACAATTAAGCTAATTATTTAATTCGATCTAAAAGACGTGTGTTGCTGTCTGCCTGAGCTTTGTGGTGAGCCAGGTGAGTAGTAGGCAGCATGAGGAAGGTTCTGATTTTCTGAGTTGTACCCACGCCCTCTTCATTCCCCAGGCCAATGTCCTCATTCTTATTCCTCTTCATCTCCTGGCCTGGCCCCTAGCCTCCTGTCCTGTCTGCTTACTGCCTCGAACTCAGCCCTTGCTTATGATCCTGATGCAGTCCTGGCCCCATGGACCTTGCTTCTTCTCAGATGTGAATCATCCTTATACCCCAGGCTGGGCCATACTGGGTGTCACTCTGGAAAACAACCTACTTAGTGTAGCCTACCTCACCCCTTCCAAAGGACATCTGTTAGCCCTCCTGATTACTCACCAGCTAATCCCATGTCTTCATTGTTCCCTGGGACATGAGGCTGCAGTTTTACTAGCCTGGGCCTTGACTTAGCCATGTGCAAGTTCGGTGGTATCATCAAGGGAAGCTTGGCAGTTGGCATGGCTGGGTTGGAGGGCGCTTTAGCCTCTCTGTAAACTGTACCAGTTTGCCCAAAGGCCCTCCAGACAGACACGAGGTCTAAATAAAGCAGCGTGCTTGCTTTGTAAAAGCAGCTTTAAGGCAGCCCCCTAGGGTCCCCTTTCACCGAGACTGCCCCAGAGCCCCTCGGCAGAGATTCTGGAACTGCCCCAAGATGAACTTGGGCTAGCTAAGTCAAAGGTGGGCTGTGGAGTCGGTGAGAGTCTTTCACTCCAAACACGAGGCTCAGAGTCCTTGGGAGTAACTAGTAATTGAAGACCAAAGCAAGGGATCAGATACAGAACATCAGTGTATCACTTGCCTCCTGCCCTGGTTGATTTTTAATAGGTCAGTCCTTTTATGGGCGCCCCCCCCCCCGACTAAACTGTCATATGGATCTAGCAAATCAAAAATAATTACAATCTTTTTCTCTGTCCCCATGGCATTTAGATTAGTCTGTGTTGGGTGATAGATATGAGGAGGTTTATGTAGAAAGTGGCTCCTGAGATCATGGAGGCCAAGAAGTCCCAGGCGTTCATCTGCGGGCTGGAGCACCAGGAAAGCGGGTGGTGCCGTTCAGTCTGAGCCTGAGAACCAGGAGCACTGATGTCCACGGCAGGAGAAGATACATGACCCAGCTCACGCCACAGGGCAAATTTGCCCTTCTTCTACCTTTTTGCTCTATTCGGGCCCTCAGTGTATCACAGGAGGCCCACCCACATTGATGACAGTCATTTTCTTTACTCAGTCTACTGATTCAAATGCTGATTTCTTCCAGAAACACCCTCACAGACACACCCTGA